CAAGTGAGGGTTGTTATTACCTTGGCAAGAAGGGCCACCTCTTCATCTGAGACTTCTTCACCAGAAGGAAGAGAGAGATAGTGTAGGAATATGTCGAAATGATATGAGATGAGCAGGAGAGGAAAAGGAGGGGCTCTGGAAGTTTTTTTTTTTTTTGGTGAAGTAAGAGGTGAGCTCATCTAAGTAGTTGAGAGTTGAGGATGACATGGAAGACTTGGTGAGAGGAAATTTGGAACAGCAGCTATGGAAGTATAAAGTTATGAACTATTATCTTATCCAATACTATCTCAAGAACCACGACCCCATGGAGTAGAGTCATGCAGATTTCCTGAATCCCTGTGTCTTTTTGCATCAAAATACTGGGCATTAAGAACATTTTGTTTCTTACATGTATAGACATGGCAAACTCTGGAATTTATATCCTTTCATATTCAGTAGGGTTTAATGAAAGATTTATTGGAAGCCTAAGGGTAAGGGGACCCGAAAAGGTTGGGAAACCCTTGCTCTAAGTCTGTAACTTAGAGAACAGTTATAGATGTGCTTTGACTTCTTGGATCAACCAATTAATGCCTAGATACTAGGCATGCAAATATGAAGAATGAAACAGTCTCTATCCTAAAGAAGCTTACCTTCTGTCAGGAGAGACAGCAAGCACATCTAAGACTATACAAAATAAATATTAAAAGATTAATACAAATGAATGCAAGATAATTAAATACAAAGTAGTTGGAGGAGAAGGCACTAGTATATCATTAATCTGGAGAAAAAAATGGAAGTGGTAATGCTTAAACTACTTATCTTATAAAATTGTTGTTAGGGAATCTTTGCCCTTAAAATATTATAGATATGTTGTTATTGTTAATGTCACATCACTGCAGACTGACTGGAATATAGAGTGAGTCGTCTGAATTGAGTGGGGTTATTCAAGGGAATATCATAGTATCTGTCTAGGTTCTAAGCTGGAAGACACTTCAGGGGCATCTAATCCAGTTCCTGAATTTTACAGAGGAAGAAGCTGAGGTCTGAGGAACTCAAGTGACTTGCCCAAGGTTACGCAAGTAGTGTCGGAGGCAAGATTTGAGGCCAGGTTCTGACTAGAATCACTGAGTACTTTTTCCAGGGGCTTTTCCTTGGGCCAGGTGAATTTGACCATGATCTTTAAAAGAGGGAAGAACATGATTGTTATAGAAGAGGGAGTGAGCCTACTGAGTGAAAACTCAAGCAGTTGAGTTCTATGATAGTAAGAATAGGCTTCTTTCTTTGAGTGAGCTGGAAGGTCTTTGAGTATGAAGAGGTCAAGGAAGTACAATAACAAGCTTGTGGTGGTTATTGTTTGCTTTTAAAAGTCTGTCTCCACCCTACGTTTCCGGATTTATAACACATTATTCCCTTTCATATATTCTATATTCTAGCAAAACTATTCTTTATGTTTCTGAAATACAACATTCCTTTTTTTATTTTTGTGGTTTTATACAGACTGCCCCTTATACCTGAAATTGTACTCCCTAGTCTTGTAGACTCAGAGCTCAACTCAAGTGCCACTTCCTGTATCTGCTATTAATGCCTCCTGCCAACTACTTTGAAAATATTTTGTTTTTACTTATATGTGTACATGTTCCCCAGGACATAATAGCCTTGAGGGTAGGTATTATTTTGCTCTTGTATCCATATTTCCAAGACCCAGCATACTACCTGCTGGATAGATGATTAATAAATATTTGTTGAGTGAGAAGAAATAACACTGTCTAGGTCCTAAGCTGGAAGACACCTCAGAGCCATCTAGTCCATCTCTAAAATTTTACAGAGGAAGAAGCTGAGGCCTGAGGAGGTTAAGTGACTTGCCCAAGGTCACACAAGTAGTATCAGAGGCAAGATTTGAGCCCAGGTTCTGACTCCAGAGCCAATGACTACTTCTTGAGATTAGAAGACCTGTATTCAAGTGTGGGCTCTTTTACTTATCAGTTGTGTAACCTTAGGCAAGCCACTTAACTGTTCTTAGAATACATTTTCTTGTGTAAAATAGGAATAATAATACTTGCACAACCTGCTCACAGTGTTTGTAGGGGAAAAGCTTTGTTAATTTTAAAGCATTACAGAAAAGGCAAGGAGCTAGTAGTAGTATTGGTAATGTTGCTCACATATATCTTATGGTCACTTACAAACAAAAACAGTGGCTGGAAGGATATTAGGAAACACAGCCCAATGCAGAGAATGCAGACCTTAGGGTCATGGGGCCTGAGTTCCAGTCTTTCCTCTGGCACATTTTACCACCGTGACTTTGGGAAAGTTGTATAACCTCTCTGGACCTCAATTTTGTCATCTATAAAATGAAGAGATTAAACTAGATGAACTCTAATCCAGCTATTCCCAATCTAGTACTAAATGCCTCCGACTCTAATTCTAAATGATACACGTTTGGTCATTATGGAAAAGGATGACTGGTCATGTAACAAGAGTAGGGAGATAGAGTATTCTGATAGTACACATGAAATGTTAAAAGAACCAAAGGAAGACCTCTAATACTTTGGGTTAATATGCTTTGGACAGTTTACCAAAAGTTATAGATAAGGATTTTACAGGATGAAAATCCTGGATCTCAATATCTCCTTGCATCAGAATACATGGTAATTAACAGCATTACTTGCTGACTTCCTGGGCTCCAGACTGGGTAACTTAGGCTACAGGGTGTTTAGCTCTGTGTGAATGAACTCACACAGTAAGATAAAGGTGACTTTCTAGACTTCCATACCGGTTAATTGTAGGTATGGTTTGTGAATTTCCTTGTTCTTACACTGAATGAATGGCCACTTTACCCAGAGGAAAATTTGAATATCATTTAAATAACCCAACTTGCTGGTCAAGATGGATGCCTATAGCAATAGTCTTCTAGTTGGTCCTTCGAGTTTCTCCCTATTCCAGTACATCTTCCATTTAGCCGTCAAATTGGTCTATTTAAAGTGCAAGTCAAACTATATCGTCCACCTTTCCCCACCCCACCAATTCAATAAATTCTAGTGGCTTTCTATCACCTCCAGAGCTATCCAAAGATAAAATGCTTTCTCTGAAATTCAAAGTCCTTCATAACCTTCCTCCCCACCCCACCCCACCCCACCTTAACCTTTCCAGTCTTCTTGTACCTTACTTCCTTCTATACATTCTGTGATCCAGGGACACTGGCTACCTTGCTGTTACTTGAACACAACACTCAGTCTTCCAGCTCTTATATTTTCACTGGCTCTCCCCATACCTAGAACTCTGTTCCTCTTCATCTCCATCCCCTGCCTTCTTTGAAGTCCCAGCTAAAATCCTACCTTTTGCTAGAAGCCTTTCATTATCCCCTTTACTGCTAGTATCTTCCCTCTGTTAATTATTTCCAAATTTTCCCATATGTATCTTTTTTTTTACATAGTTGTTTGCATGTCTTAGACTGTGAGCTCTTTGAGAGTAGGTCCTTTTTTGGAATCCCCAGTGCTTAGTATAGCACCTGGAACATAAGCACTTAATAAATACTTGCTGACTATCAACTTGTGTTTCCAGGTGCCAACCAGATTTTAGGTTTATTATCCAGATCACAGGATCAGCTTTTATGGTCTTTTGCCTACTAGCCTGCCTTTCTCAAAAGGAGTGAAAGCATATGGGTAGGAGACCAACAGTTTCTCAGCTTTCTAACTCGTGTTCATGATAATGATAATAGGTCATATCAGTTTACAAAGTGCTTTATGTTTCATCATTTTATTTAATCACTGTAGCATCATCTGTGGTCTAGTGGAAAAAAGCTCTGGGTTTGGATTCTACATACTTGGATTTGCATCCCAGCTGGCATGAATTCCCTGCTGAATCTTAGTAGAGATGTGAAAATAAGTCACTTTATGTGAGCTTCCATTTTCTCATCTGCAAAATAGGGACATACCTGCCCTGACTTTTTTTTTTCCTGCCCTGACTATCTTATAGAATTATTTAAAGTATCAAACGAGAATTCATTTAAACTGGTTTATTAACTGTAAAATTACATATGTATATATGCGGGTAATGTATGTACACACACACATACATATATACATACATACATACATACATACACACACACACATGTCAGCTTTTGTTACGATCATTATTAACGTTGCATTAGGAGAATCAGAATTTGAATCCAGGTGATCTGACTCCATATTCAGTTCTTCAACACTTCAAGAATCTGTGATTTCACTGATGTAGGTCCTCCTTCCACCAGATTTGATACCTACTCACTCTAGGCCTTAGTCAGAGTACTTCAGGAGTTTCTGGGGTTAAAAAAATCAGCATCTAATAACTAGCCTCTTGGTGGCAAGCCTTTTCTAATTTAGCTGGTCTAGTGTTTGCATAACAGGCACCCAAACCATTTCCAAAGTCACATTGGAATCCTTTCCTGCTTGGTAGTATTTGCCAGAACTTTTATTCCCCTGGGCCTTCACCTTTGTGTTGTGGTAGAAGCATTGGGAGTAGGCCTTAGTGGAGGGGATAACATAAGAATGCCAGTAATTAAGGACCAAAATGAGTGATGGTGATGTAAATTGGTACAAATATTCATGGGATCATAGATTTAGGGCTGAAAGGGACCTTGTGATTCAGCCCTCTCATTTTACAGATAAGAAAACTGAAGCCCAGAGAGGGTGAAGGATTTGACCAAGTGCGATGTCTTGTAAGTGGCAGGGGCAAGATTTGAACTCCATTGCTTCTAACTCAGTGCTTATTCTACTGCTTCATGGTATCTCTCTGAAAGTTAAATAATTGTTTCATTGTACAATTAAGGACCAAAGTGAGTGATGATGTGCTTGGGAGGTAGAGAAGAGAGAGCAGTATGGGATAGAGTAATCAGGGAAAGCTCCTTAGAGGCGACGAGCCTGGTACTTCGTCTAGGGACCTTGGTGACCATTGTTGAAGATGCTTATGGTCAGTAAAATGTTTAGCAGGGTTTGTCTTGTCACAGTTTTAGTAACTGGTTTTCTGGTGGTGTTTCTCTCCAGGTTGATCTTTCAGACCTGTCCCCTGAGGAACGATGGAGGTAAGTGCTATTGCTGGGACTGTTCCAGATGAGGGCCCAGTAACTGATGGACCTGCATGGAACTGAACAAAGTGAACTGATTGTCCATTGACTTCATCATGTAGTCTGGTTCAGTGGGAAGAGTCCTAGATTTATTGTTAGAAGGTCAGGGTTCTGCTGTGTGTGTGACCTTGGGCAAGTTCTTCATCTTTCAGGATCTTAATTTTCTCACTTATAAAATGAGTTCTTCACCTTTTATGTGTCATAGGTCCCTTTGGCAGTCTGCTGAAAGCAATGGACTCCTCAAAATCATGTTTTTTAAATGCATAAAATACATAGGATTACAAATGAAACCAATTAAGTCAAAAAGTTAACAAAATATTTCTAAAATCAGTTTATTGACCCCTGTTCTTAAGGGCCCCTGACGCCTAACATTCTATATGAAGCGAATATCTGACAGCAGCATCATAGTATCCAGCCAAGCTAAAAGTCATTCTTGTTCCTAAAGACCTCAAGAATACTAAAAAGTTTAGGGTTTCTGCCCAGGACATGGGTCATTCAGTCTGTAATCAGTCCCTTCCAGCACCTGAAGAATAGTAAATTTTGGGTTGTTTTTGCTTTTTAAAGTGAATTTTTATATCTTTTGTTTTTATATCACTTACATTATCTACTGTATCCCTCCTCCCACCTTCCAAACAGCCATTACTTATAATAAAGAATTTAAAAAGAGAAAGAAAAAAAATTCCACAAGACTAATCAGCATATCAAAAAAGTTTGATGTTATTTTGTGCAGTGTTCCACACTCAAGGTTCCTCTCCTTTGCAGTGAAGGATGGGGCAGATGGAAAAAGAGCACGTTAATCCCCTTAACAAACTAAATCCCATTGTAGCAATAACCCTGGGAGTCAGAAAATTTTGAGTTTGGGAGCAGATTTAGGTTAAACATTGTGAACAACTTTTTAACAATCAGTTGTCTCACTGTTTAGTGAGCAAGTAAATATTAAATGCCTTTATGTTCAGGGCACTGTGTTAGATGCAGAGATAAAAATGACAGTCCTTGTCCTCTGGGAGCTTGCAGTCTATTACATTGACCTTCATCTCCTTGAAACGAATCATAGTTTCCAGCATGTTGGAAGTATTATTATAGTTCATTGCACTGCTTAGGCCACAGCTTGTCCTCTTTGTATAGCTGGAGAACATCTAAAGTAGGGAAGCTAAGTTGGTGAAGAGCCTCAAGATCATGCTGTGGGATGGGAACTGGGGATGTTTAACCTGGAGAAGAGAATACATAGGGAGAGGATGATGGGAGGATCAGGATAGGATATGATAGCTGCCTTCAAATATTTTAATGGTTGTCCTACAGAAGAGGAATTCAACTTGTGTTGCTTGACCTGAGAGTCTACAATGAGAAATATATACTTTCTTTTCACTTCTGCCTCTTAGAATTTCTAATCTTTATGGCTTAGTTCTTTCCTGATTCATTCAGTTGTTAGTGTCCTCCCATTACACATCCTCAAAATTACTTTGTATATTTTTAAATTGATTTAATCTAGGTACCCATTTGTTTCCTTCTCACTAGAATGTAATCATTTTAAGGGTAGAGATTATTTGCCTTTTGGCATTTGTCTCTCCAGTGACGGGCACTGTGCATTGCACATGGTAGATGATTAATAAATGTTTATTGCAAGAATAAATCAAATTGCAGAGAGGCAGATTTAAAACTGAAGTAAGGAATAAAAAGGCAATATGAGCTGTCTCTGTAGGTGGTGGCTTCCCCCTCACTCAAAGTATTTAGGGTTAGGAAATGTTATAGAAGGGACTCTATTAGGTAAGGTTAGAATTGGATGTTCTCTGAGAGTTTGCAAAACTGAGGGGAAATTCAGATAAATATACAAGATAGAATGTGATCAGGCAAAGAGTTGCAGTTAAAGTGCTGTAAGATAATTTGAAGAGAAAGAGAATACTTTTGTTGGGAACTTAGAAAAGACTTCCCAGGGGAGGTAAGAGAAGGGTTCTGAAGGGCAGAGATACAAAAGGAATGCATTCAAGGAATGGGGAACAACCTGAACTTACATGGAGGTAAGATGCTATTCAAAAAACATATTACGTTTGGACAGGTCATCTAAGTTCCCTCAGTCTTAGTTTTTTCTTCTGTAAAATGGAACTAACACATATTCTTCCTTTTTGACAAGGTTTCTCTAAAGCTCAAATCAAATAATTTGGGGGTGATATAGAGCTGAAAGCTGTGGCTTCTATGTTGAATGATGAAACCATGATTAGGAATGGGCTGGGTGAAAATATGCTTAATATGAATGTATAAGTAGGGCCTGTATCAGATTAATGCTGTCTTGGGCGGGGGTAGGAGAGGAAGAGGGAGAAAATTTAGAACTCAAAATCTTATGGAAGTGAATGTTGAAAACTAAAAATAAATTATTTTTAAAAAAATTTTTTTTAAAGGTCCACACTTGAGGACCAAAAGTTCAAGACTATATAATTATTTCTTGAAAAGTAGGCATTAAAAGATACCATGAAACAAAATGAGATAAAGGGGAATAGAAGATTAGTGCCTGGATTTTCAGATTTCTCTCTTGTGTACTACACGTTCAGCATGCTATTTTTAAACAACTTGGCATTTATTAAAGTAATTTTCCAGACAAAATAAAAAAAAAGAATATGTTTGGAAAGCTATGATAAAATAAACTAAATGGAATTAAGTAGGAATAAAGTCCTGCATTTAGGTTAAATAGTTCAAATGTACAAATGTAGGGTGGGGTAGGCATGACTGGAAGAACAACCTGAGGAGGTAGGTGACTCTCAGCTTAGAATGAGCCATTAGTATGATACAACTCCTAAAGGAAATTAATGCTGTATTAATAGGATAGTGTCCAGGTCATGGGAGTTAATAATTCCATACTTCTCTTTAATACTTAGACTATATCTGGAGTATTGTATTGAGTTCTGCCTTAAGAGGGGTATTGACACATTGGGAGGGAGCATGATACAGTAGGAGAATCACTAGAACTATCCTTATTTACTGACAGTATAATGATATACTTAGAAAATCTTAGGGAATCAGCAAAAGTACTAAGTGAGATAATTAATAGCTTCAGCAGAGTTGCAGGCTACAAAACAAATCCTCAAAAATCGACAGCATTTCAATATAATAAAACCTAAGAAGGGAATTCCATTTCAAATAACTACAATATAAAATATCTAGGGATCAACCTACCAGAGCACCCAAAAGACTTGTATAGATTCAGTCACAAAGGACTCCTTATTGGAAATAAAGAACTGTGGGAGTGAAAGTTGAAATGACTGAGGAAACAAAGGTTCAAGCTTCTAAGCATTTTTATTTATTAAGCAATGCATGCCAGTTGCCTAACAAATCAAAAGCAATAGCCTTCCTTAGCTTTGGCACTGGACCCTGAATATAGGGAGAGACAGATTCTTATACGTTAAAAACAATCAAATAAGGCCAATTAATTAAAAGGAAGCAACCAGGATGCAACATTAGGTGATCTGATTGCTAATTGGAGGAAAGATTAGGGACTTTGCAAGGTGGGAGAGGGACAGCAAACAGGTACAATTCTCAGAAATCAGAAAAAGAGGCGTCCCACTCACCCACGTGTTTGTAAACAACCAAAGCAACATGGAAACAATAACTGAGTGATCAGTATGGGGCCAGTTTTCAGATAAGACGTATGGGTTGCTTGAGATGTATAATTGTGAGAAAACTCCTTGCATCAATCTTAGGGTCTCTAAGAGGTGATCCAGCTTACCAGGTATGCAGAGCTAGGTTCAAATGATACAATATGGTTTTCTCTCAGTTCCCACAGAAGAAATTAAATAGGTGGATGAATATTCAATGTTCATAGCTAAGTTGTGCCAAAATAATAGAATGATAACCAAATTTAATTTATACTTTTGATTCTACAAGGAGATACTTTATTGAATTTGACAAAATAATAACAAAATTCATTCAGAAAAACAAAGATCTAGAATATTAAGGGAAATGATGAAAAGAAGTAGGGATGAAAGAAAGAATAGTACTTCTAAACTACAAACTGTACTATAAAGCAGCAGTTGTCAAAATCGTCTGGTAGTGGTTAAAAAATAGATGAATGGAACATACTAGACAAGGGGGAGTCAGAAACAATAGAACTCAATAACTGTGTTTGGTTAAGTAGAAAATATAAATTATCTAAGAAGAAAACACCTTATTTGATTAAAAACTGCTAGGAAAACTGGAAAGCAGTCTGGCAGAAATTAGGTTTAGATTAACACCTTACACCATATTCCATGATATGGTCTCAGTGGATATATTACCTTAATATTAAAGGTCATATTATTTTAAAAAAATTAGAAAAGAAGCAGATCACGTAACTCTCACAGCTATGGGTAGGAGTCGTATTCTGAACCAAACAAGAAATAGAGACAGTTACAAAAAATAAACTAGCTAACTTTGATTTCATGAAACTAAAAAGCTTCTGCAACAGAAGTGATTGAAGGGGGGGGCAGGGAGAGAATTACATCAAATTTCTCTGATAAGAATTTGGTATTCAAAATATATAAACAACTGATAAATATATATCAGACTAATAGCCATTCCCTAATGCATAGGTAGTCAAAAGATATGAACAAATGGTTTCCAAAAAAACTGCAAAGTATTCAGTCACATGAAAGAATGCTCCAGATCACTAACTAACAAGAGAAATGTAAATCAAAACAACTTTGAGGTGTCATCTCACACCATGGAAATGGGCAGAAAAGACAGAAAATGGCAGGTTAGTTGTGCAGGGGTTTTTCTCCCCCTCTGAAAAATACTGTTTGTTATGTGGGATAGCTCTTGAGGGAGAAGGGGAGGAATACTGGGATAACTAATTATATAAAACACAAAAGATATCAATTTAAATTTATTTTTTAAAAATATAAGATAGTAGGGATAGTTAGGTGGCATAGTGGATAGAGCTCCAGCCTTGGAATCAGGAGGGCCTGAGTTCAAATCCAACCTCAGACACTTGACACTTACTAGCTGTGTGACCCTGGGCAAGTCACTTAACCCCAATTGCCAAAAAAAAAAAAGTAGAATTGAAAGGATGAAAGGATCTGGCAACAGATTGGTTGTGGGATATGAGTTGAAGATGACATTTCAGTTTTGAGCCTGGATGACTGGAATGATTGTGGTAATAGAAGTAATAGAAGTGACAGTAATAGAAGAGGGGAGGGTTCGGGAGAAAAGAGGATGAGATCAGTTTTAGATTGCAAGTTTAAAATTTCTGTGGGACATCCAGTTCTAGATGTCTGATAGGCAGGTGTTGTCAAGAGAGAAGTTAGGGCTAGACAGATAGACCAGAATACTTGCTTAGAGATACCTGAGTCAATGAGAGCTGATGAAGTCACTAAATGAAATATCGTAAAGAGAGAACAGTAGAGGACCAGGACAGAGCCTTAGGAGTCCTAAGGATATCCTTGGCATAGTCTTGGGAGACATCCTGTAGGATAAAATGCAAACTCCTTTGTTTAGTATTTAAAGCCTTTCACAATCTGGCTTCAACCCACCTTTTCACACCTATTAGAAATTTCTGCAGCCTCTGTCAAAGTTTACAGAGAGGTTAAGAAGGATAAGGATTGATTACATTTGTCAGTAGGTCATTGGTAACATTGGTGAGAACAGTTTCAGTTGAATGATGAGATTGGAAGTCAGACTGCAGAAACTTAAGAAGAGAATGAGAGGAAAGGAAGTGGAGGCACTTGTTGTAGATGGTCTTCACAGGGAGTTTAGCCATGAAAGGAAGAAGAGATATAGGCCCAATAAGTAGCAGAAATGGATCAATCAAATGAGGCTTTTTTTTTGCGGGGGTGGGGAGAGGATGGAGGAGATATGGATATGTTTATGGGTATTAGGGAAGCAGGCAGTAGATAGCAGAGATTGAAGGTAAGTGAGAGTGTGGGGATGATATTGGAGGAGATGAGACAGAATGGCATTACTTGTGCATGTAGAGGGGTTTACGTTGGCTGTTGTGAGAAAATGCTATGTAAATATGAGTTACTAGCAATTAATATCATAAAAACCTGGAATGCATTCAGAGGAGGGTGACAAGGAATCACAGGATTTACAATATAATAGAACAAATATTTATTATTTCCTTACTATATACGAAAGACTATTCTAGGTCTTAGATAAGATACCAAGTTACATAAGAAACTGTCTTTATCCCCAGAGAGGACAATAATATATACAATGAGTGCAGTGAAGTAAATGGACAGAATGACAACAGTAAAACAGTTGAAATTGAATGCTATAAAATTATTATGACCAGGGTAAGTCCCATAGAAGAGGTATGAGGAGACTACCTTTCCACTACACTCCTTCTTTGCAAAGGTGTGGCACAGCTGTGGGTGTAGAACATTTTTTTAGTGCGTTGGTTATTGTTGTTTACTTAGGGGTTTTTTTCCTCTTTTTTTATCCTTTGAAGGTAGTACTGGCTCTCTGGGAGGGGGAGACATAATATTGGGAAATGTAGGTTTTATAAAGGCAATAAAAATTTATTTTTAAAAAATGTTAGATAACTCTCAGGTTATAACCTGGTGGACTAGTAGGATGATATTGCCCTCAGCAGAGAAATAGAAAGTTTGGAAGAGGGATAGGTTGGGGAGAAATAGTATTGAGTTTCTTTTTGGAACTTATATCTACTCTGATAGCTCTTGTTAACTTTCCTGTTTCTGTTGAAGTTCCCACCTTCCAGGTACCCAGTTTCTTAACGTTGGAGTCATTCTTGACTCTTCATTCTTACACTCCTCTTGTCAGTCAATTACCAAGTCTTGTCAATGTCCCTCTACATTTCTCATGTCTATCTCCTCTCTACTCATGTAGCTACTACCTCTGTTGTTCAAACCCTCATCACCTTTCTCTTAAACTATTGAAATAGCCTCCTGATGAGTCTTCCTGCCTGTCTCTCCTCCAGTCCATCTTTCATACAGCTTCTAAAGGACTACTCTTAAAGCACACATCTGACTGCCACTGCCCTGTTCAGGAATCTCCAGTGACTCCCTATTGTGCCTAAAATACAAATTCCTTTGTTTGGTTTTTTAAAGCCCTTTGCATTTGGTTTCAGACTGCCTTTTCAGAGTCATTGGAACTTACTCCCCTTTACTGCAGACAAACTGGCCTGCACATGTCATTGCTACCTATGCACATGCTGTTCCCCACTCACCTCATGTTCTTAGAATGCCTCTTTCAAAGTCTGCTTAAGTGTGACTTTCTGCATGGGGCCTTTCCTGATCCACTCCCTTCCCTCTGGCAGCTGGTTAGTGCTCCTACCTTATGTTTACTTTATATCTACAAGTGTGTGTTGTCTTCCCCAGTAAAATGTAAGCAGGGACAGTTTAGTTTTTTGGTTTCGTGTATGTCTACAACCTAAGTAACAGTCATTTAACAAATGCTTGAAGATGAGAAAAAGAAAGGAAGTCACCAAAGGGGCAAACTTTCAGAGAAAACTTGGGAGATGAGTATTAAAATTACAAGTATAAGGCTTGGTCTTGGCAAGAAGGACTGTTTTTTGTCAGTGATTGGAACAGAGGAAGAGAGAATGGGAGGATGATGTAAAAGAAGTTCTAGCAAGAGAGAAAGAGGGAGTTAATGACAGGTGGTTAACATTTTTTCCATAAAGAGGCAAATTCTGTTGAGACAGAGGAGAAAGGGATGATATAGCTGTCAGTGCTTCTTAAACTGTGGGTCACGACCCCATGTGAGTTTGTGAAAAATTTGGCAACAGTAAAATATTTCTGAATGCCCAACGACCAAAAACTAATTTAAAATCAAACACGTAGTGAATCCGAGTTATTTCTGGCAGCACTTGCCCTTGTTGCAGCAGGCCACTTCACTGTAGCCTTGGTTCTGAACACAAAACTTGTGCGCTTTGCACCGTGCATGCCCCCAAGCCACGCAACACCTGCTTCTGAAACATGAAGATGGGTCCTCAGTGGAAAGAGCTTAAGAAGCCCTGGTTTTGAGGAGATTTGAATAGCTGCTGTGGTGAGTGTGACAGCAGGTCAGGGAAGAAAGGGTTACCATGTAGCCATGCAGGCCCAATTGAGATTAGATAACATAAATTTTTAATGAACCCAGTTAACATGGTAATGAGCCTTTCCCCCTAGCAACATTTAGCAACATTTAGAGGAACAGTGAGAATAGATGGTGGGGTAACCCAATTTTGGAATTTGACAAAGTGTGTCAGGCAGTAGTACAAGGGGGTAAATGGTTCAATGATGGAAGATAATGTATAGTTTAATTGCCTAACCATAGAGTCAAGACTGAATAAGAGATAGACTGAAATAGTGGACTGGGAGAACAGGAAGATATGAAAAGAGTAGAGATTGTGGTGAAGACAAAGAATAAGTTTAGGAAGAGTGAGGCAGAGGGAGAGATTGCAAGGATAGGAATTTATATTTAGAGAAGAATTCAGAGTTTTGGATATAGAGGTAGTTCTAAGTAATAATGAGATCAAGGATATGAGCTGTCACTTTGGGGGTTACAGTGGAATGAAGAAGTTGGTGAAGCTAGAGTGTTTGAGAGAACATCAATGGCTATATTATAATTCTCAAGCATAAGGACAAGGGTTTCAGCTGGAGAGGAAGAATGTGAACTGGATACAGGATTTGAGAAAAGAAAAGCAATGGTGAGTGAGACAAGGATCTTGCCTTGGAAAATATAACCTGAGAGAGATTCAGAATTTAGGTAAGACACCGTCCCTCCCCTACTTTGAACTTAAAGTCTAATCAGTATATGATATACGCTCATATAAATGAGTTGGAGGGGTACACAATACTTTGTTAGTCTGAGGTGTATCTTTTGGGAAGAAAGAGTCCTTATCTAATTGAGAGGTCAAGGAAGTTTCATGAAGGAGATAAGGTATCATTTGAGTTGGGGTATAGATTCAGCAAGGAAGTTAGGTGGCGCAGTGGATAGAGTGCTGGGCCTGGAGTCAGGGAGATTCATCTTCGTGAGTTTAAATCTGGCCTTAGACCAGGCCTGCACAACCTGTGAACCATAATGGCCCGAGGGCCACTTGCAGCACACCAAAGGATTTCAAGTGGCGTATGAAAAATGTGGAGGAAAATAGCCATAGGTTGTGCAGGTCTGCCTTAGACACTTACTAGTTGTGTGATGCTGGGCAAGTCACTTAACCCTGTTTGACTCAGTTTCCTCATCTGTAAAATGAGCTGGAGAAGGAAACAAACCACTCTGATATCTTTGTCAAGAAAACCCCAATGGGGTCACAAAGAATGAACAGACACAACAGAAATAACTGAACAAAAACAACACCACCAACAACAACATAGATTCAGCAGGCAAAAAGGTAAATGGAAGGATTTTCTAGATCTAGGCTACAGTTTGGAGGTTGGATGATAAGAGACTTTATTGTGAGCCATCCTGCAACTAGGCTTCCCTTTGCTTTAGATCACCAGTGCCAGGAATATTTTATATGCTTGTTTCAGGTCCTTCGCAGTTCCAACATTCTACATTCTGTGTTCTGGGAGCGCTTCCAGCTATGATGTGCTACAATTCTAAATCTGTAGTAGCAGGGATGGGGTGCTTCTAATTCCCCCACTGCCTGTCTAACACATTTGTTTGGCTTTCAGGATCGAGCACGCACGGATGCACGCCAAGCACCGTGGCCACGAGGCCATGCATGCAGAGATGGTCCTCATCCTCATCGCCACCCTGGTGGTGGCACAGCTGCTCTTGGTGCAATGGAAGCAGAGGCATCCACGATCCTATAATGTAAGCCGTTTTTCCTCCTCTGCCTCTGTTATTCCTAGAGAATCCTTACATGCATGTAGCAGCGGGCAAGTTCTCTTGAACTTGTGTGAACTGAGCAACCCTGATACAGACAACAGTTCCACCAAAAATTAAAGCCATTCAGTACACATGCATATGTGGGGAAGGTATATATCCAGTAACATCCCACCTGTTTTGAACTCAGTTTGTGATAACCATCCCTATATCATAATAATTTGATGATAAGACAGTCATTTCTCTAACACATTAAGCTTTATGAAATGCTTTCTTTATAAGAGCCCTGTGAGATAAGTCTGGCACATACTATTTTCCTCATTTTACAGAAGAGGAAACTAAGGCTCTTAAGCAGTTAAATGACTTGCCCAAGGTCACGTAGCTAAGGGTGTGGAATAGCTGGGACTTGAACCCAGGTCTCTTGACTCCAAATACAAGAAAGACTCTATTGCACCAGGCTGTCTGTGGCTGAGGTAGAACATTTTTTTAAAGGTCTCTAAATAGGGAAAGTAGTTAAGGTGGTTAAAAACTTTTTCCCTTTTATGTAGTGATGAGCCCCTCAGTTCCTACTCATACTGTTAACTTTTATTTTATGTGAAATCCAAATATGTGTGGATTTCTAGTTTCTAAGTCCACAACAAATTAGGACTGTGGGCTGAGGCTACAACCTAGCATAGTAAAAGAAACACTGGTAACTGGGGGAAAATAAAATACTAAATTAAAAAAATGAAAAACACTGAACCTAGAATGAGAGGACTTAAATTAACATTTTGGATGTTTGTGACTTATTCCTGTGTGGCCTTGGATAAGCCACTCTGGGCCTCATTTTCTTGACCTATAAAATGAAGAACTTGGCCTCGATGATCTCTAACTTTGAACTGTAGGTCCTGTGATTTATATGCTAGAAAGAGATAACGTTAGCAGCAGCAAGATGTCACAACTAAGAGTTTGATAATGAGAGAAGAGACAGAAAATGCATTTTAAAAGCTGATGTTAGAGCTAAAAAACAGCATTGTATAAGGAAAAGACCACTGGACTTGGAGTCAGAGAGACTGGGTTCAGGGCCTGATTCTGTCACTTGCTATGGCATAGCACTTATGTACTCTGAGTATCCTTTTCCTCAGCTGTAAAATGGGCTAAAATCTCCACCAATCTCAACAAGTTAATTGAGGAAAGCGTTTTGTATAACTTAAAGAAGAGTAGAAAATGGAGCAGCTTTTTTTATTATCAAAAGTAGTAACTAATATATTTCAAACTTAAAAGCACTGTCTGCTGGGTTTTATTTTGTTTGGTTTTTTTTTTTAAGAAAGAAAAAGTATTTTTCAGACCATAAAACTTTATTTAAAGTGTGAATTATTATTTTAAAACCAGTAGTCTCATGGCCCCTGAGTACTGCAGAAAATAGTCTCACGAGGGGCAACTAGGTGACACAGTGTGTAGAACTCCGGCTTTGGAGTCAGGAGGACCTGAGTTCAAATCCAGCCTCAGACACTTGACACTTACTAGCTGTGTGACCCTGGGCAAGTCACTTAACCCTGATTTCCTCACCAAAAAGCAAAAACCAACAAACAAAAATGGGGCAGCTAGGTGGCACGGTGGATAGAAATCTGGCCCTGGAGTCAGGAGGACCTGAGTTCAAATCCAGTCTCAGACTGAACACTCACTAGCTGTGTGACTGGGCAAATCACTTAACCCCAACTGCCTCACCAAAAAAAAAAGAAAGGAAATAGTGTCACGCATCTCAAAATCCCCTGAGAGCATTGCTATTTTATAAACTAGTGCAATAATTGGTATTTATAATTATAATTCTGAGTTGACAGAAAAAGAGTAAAAATTATGACCTATGTGTTCTGCTTAAGAAGGTAGTGTCATTTGAAAAATAAAAGAAAAAGAAAGGTAGTGTCATATGTCTTAGGAAAATTTTCAAAATACAATAGGTCTTGAGTGCATAGCAAGCTGAACCCCTAGCTCTCCAAAGAAGGTCTCCAAAATTGGTCATTCCAATTGCCTTATTCCCTAAAGGTTCCAGAAAGCTGAGATTTGACTGTAATCCAGGTAAGTGGGTTCTTCAGAAAGAAAGAAGACTTATGGGTCTCTGTAACCAGAGTGGTCCTTCATGAACTCAGTGGTTTCCAGGAGCTCTTTACTGACAGTAAATGATGGGCCAGGGAGGGCATTCGGTGTATACAGCATAGCCACAATAATTCTCAAAGCTAAGTGGAGGACAGTGGGGTAAAAGGGCCTTTGAGTAGAGGAAAGATAGAGGTCCAACGTGGATATATTCAGATGTGAGGCTTTTTATTAACCTTACACTTGGTTCCAACTAGCATTTGAATTCAGCTAGCCTGAAAACTGTTGACAAGACTGTCATCATAGTGGGTGACATAATTGTATGATTAGAATGATGCCCAGAATTCACTTCAGTAGGCTTTCTCTCATGTCTCCCTAAACTATACTTCCTGTGTCAGCTCCATTCCTGCTGTGACACATAACCATGGAGAAGTCCCTTTCTCTCAGTGCAGGTTTCTTAGTGCTGTCCTTGGCCAAAGAGTATTACAACCAAAAGGAATGAGCAAGCTCAGAAATAGGTAAGAATTAGACTCCCCTGTAATTGAGCTAATCTTTGGCTCCTAGTATTTGAAAGATTAAATGATAATTAGGTTTGAATAATAATCAATTCCCCTCTGATGCTTCATCAAAGCAGAGAGGCAGACCTGGGATCTCGAGGGCTATGCTAGTGAAACATAAGGTCTGGCAGGTCCTACCAAGCTGTCAGGGCTCCAACCATGAGCCCAGCAATGGATAGCGTGAAGTCATTTGCTGATAGTTTCTTTGACTACAGCGGCTTATGACGACCACAGAGGACAGAGTTAGGCCAGCTAGATGACACAGTGGGAATAGCTCTGGGTTCCATCCTGCAGTCAGGAAGACCTGAGTTCAAATCTATGTGACCTTGAGTGTAAGTCACTTAACCTTTGTTTGCTCAGTTTCCTCATCTGTAAAGTGGGGGAAATGATAGCACCTGCTCGAGGGGGTTGTTGTAAGGATCAAATTAGATAATAATTGTAAAGCTCTTAGTACAGTGCCTGACACAAAGTAAGTGCTGTATAAATGTTAGTTTTTGTTGATATTATCATTAATTAGGGACCAGAAAGTAGAAGTCTCATGAGGTAGATTTGTTCTCAATTCAAGGAGTAACTTCTTAACAATCAAAGCTGTCCAACTTTCAAATAATTGACTTATGAGGTAGTGAGGTCCCTTTTACTAGAAGTGTTAATGCTTTGATTGGTTACCTTTGTTGGAGATGCCAGAGAAGATTCTTGCCTTGGGTAATAATAATCATAATAATAATCATAATAAGCAATAAAAACATTTGTGTAACATTTTAAGATTTACAAAGCACTTTACAAATATTATCTCATTTTATCTTTACAACAACTCTAGGAGGAGTAGGTGCTAAAACAATTTTATAGAGTAGGAAGCTGAAGCAGACAGATTAAGTGTCACATAGGGTCACATAGCTAGGAAATGCTTGAGACTAGATTTGAACTCAGGTCTTACTGAGTCTGGTTCCAGTGCTCTCTTGATTGTACCACCTAGCTAACTCTAGGTGAGTAGAAAGTTCTAGATTACCTCCAGTGTCTTGTTTACACTAAGAGGCAGTGTTGCTTAGTTGGAAAGAGCCCTGGACTTGGAAGCCAGGAGAAAAATGGGTTTAAATCCTGCCTTCATAGTTTCTGTGTGAGTTCAGGCAAGTCACTTCATATTACTGAGCCTGTTTCTTACATAAAATGGAAATGTAACAATATTTATGTTGTCTGCCTTACAGGTTGTTTGAGGAGGTACCTTGTATGTAAAGCATAATGTACTATAGAAAATTATTTGCTATTCCAATTCTGAATTAGACCAGTGAGGCCCAGTTTCACAACTTCCTCTATCAGATAAGGTATTATTGAAAGGATAACAACAGGCTGTCTAGTCCTGGAAACTGCTAGAGATAGGATCAGTGGGTACAACTTGTCACTAAGGTGATATCATTAGCTTCCATCTAGCCAGATTTTGAAATTTGCCTCTTTTGATTTGGGGTACTTGCCTTACCTTTGGTATTCACCTAAAATGCTTTTCCCTGCTTGGGCTACCCATTTATTTAAAATGTCTCCCTCTGGGCACTCCTCAACCATTTCCCATGCTGAATTCAGAAACAGAGAGTCATAGAATCTTAGGAGTAGGAAGGAATTTTTATTTATTGCTTTGTTTTTAAATATATTTTTATTAGTGCCCCTTTTTTTATGTCACCGTAATTTCTACTAGTATCCATTTCAGGAATGCTAACATGGAGTCAACATGAGTCAAGTAAAATTTTGGCAGCAGAGTATTCTATTGCAGCCTTAGCTTCCAGAGAAGAGAGAATGTAGACTAAGCATAACATTTCTCTGCCATTTGGGTTAAAAATGTCCTACTCTTTTCAGTCCCCAAATTTCAGATACTCTTTGGAGGAAGTAATTAACCTTTTCTGAAGATAATTACTACTGGGAGATCAGTGAAGGATTCATGAAAGAGTTGCTATTTGAGTTGGATATGAAAGGTTAGATTAGACCTCCCATTTGCTTAAAATATCCCCTCTAAGGCACTTCACAACCATTCCCCATCATGATGAATTCAGAAATAGAGAATCATAGAATCCTAAGAGTAGGAAAGAATTTTTGTTTATTGCTTTGTTTTAAAATAAATTTTTATTGATGTCATTTGTTTCTTTTTTTATCACCATAAGTTTCCCCAGTATATCTTCCCCTCTGCCTCTCAGAAAACTATCCCATATTACAAATAACATTTTCTAGAAAAAAAAAGGTAAGAGAGAAAAAATCATCATAACTGGTAAGCACATTGAAAAAGTCTGAAACTAACCAACCAATGATGGTAGAGTGGGAGTATCTATAAAAGTAAAATCCTAAAGTCTTGAAGAAAAATAAAACTAATCCTCTGATATA